GGGGGGGGTCCAATGGAACATAGACTTAAGCAATATAATGGGAACAAGTATATTCACTTTACACTTCAAAGGAGTGAAAGACAGCAACATTTGTTTTACAGTGTTGGATGTGAGATTTATATTATTACAACTGTCGGCTCATTGAAATTCAGCATAGCACTTTCAAACATAGTTGAACACATGTATAAGTAGCACATGTACATGTATTTGTAATCATAAGAATAAACAGTGTGTCAACATAATTAATCTACAGAGCATTTGTTGAATACAATTCCAAATTATGGCACTGCAGTTTGCAGAAAAAAAAAAGTTACAATTTGGCAGGCTAAAAGAACATACCAGTGTCACTTCAGTATTATACTGCTCAGGTTAAAACAGAAAGATTGACTTTTTCTTCAAGCCAAGCTGAAATGAATTACGGACACTTCAACATTGAATCAGATAAAACAGAAAATTCTTGGCATAGACGAGACCTACAATTTAGAAACATCAAAATCAAACAGTTACTGATCTTACATGACAACAGAACTTGCAAGCTTAAAGCCAGTTTGCAAGATATTAACACATGTATCCATCATCGCCTGTCTTGATACTCTCTATCCTGGCTTTCTTCTTTCTCCATGTCCCATTCTGTCCTTTCTATCTCTTTCCCTCCCTCTCTCCTTGTCACGTTGCCCTCTGTCCCAAGGGTCACTGTAAGCTGTGGCTTTACTGTCCCTGTCAGTACCACTCCTGCCAGTATGATGTTCTCTATCATCCCTTTCTCTCGAGCTCCTTCCTTGCTTTCTAGCTTGTCTCTCCCAGCCGTGACTGCCACCTCTCTGGTTCCTGTCATCCCTTTCTCTGTAACTGTCATCTCTTTTGTCCCTAGAGCTCTGTACGTCTCTTCTGTCCCGATCTTGCCTGCTGTCCTGGTGATCATAGTATCTGGAACCCTTGTAGTCTTGCCTGTCCTGTGCTTCTCTCACATCCCGTCCACCATCGCGTCTGCTGGAAGCAGCATTTCTAGTGTCCCTCCCCTCTTCATCTCTGGTGTCTCTTGCATCTCTGCTGCCTCTCTCCCAT